CCGTAAAAAGACTAGTACTAGCACTGCTAGGACGGCACGGCAGAACTAAGCCTCCGGAAAATCACGTACCTAATGCTAACTATAACAAAACCTACAACGACTACGACTAGCGACCTACAACGACTACGACTAGCGACCTACAACGACTACGACTAGCGACCTGCAACGACTACGACTAGCGACCTATAACAACTAGCGACCTATAACGACTAGCGACCTATAACGACTAGCGATCTGCGACCTGCAGCGATTACGACTAGCGACCTATAACGACTAGCGACCTATAACGACTAGCGACCTACAACGACTAGCGACCTACAAGGGTATATAAGGCGGAAGCTTCGCTCGCACTTTATAGGTACGCGGAGCCGCCTACAAGCACATATTATATTACTATTACTAAAGAGACATATCTTTTTTTTTCTCTAGGATCTTCGAATATTAGATTAGTAGTATTAGCTTTAATAAATTCTTATAGAATTGCTATACGAATAAGTCTCGGAGCTAAACATAATAAATAGTATTCTCGAAAAGCTCCGCTATTATAGTAGCTATAGGAGCTTTATTTCCCTACTACTATCTCTAGTTAAATAGGCTAACGGCAAAGCTCTCTATATTGCTTAGTACTATTAAGGAGTATATTCTTCGTTAATAAATCCTAGGAGTAAGATAGGTAATAGTTTACGTAAGTCTATTATTAAGATAAATATACAACCTTAGGTTATAGCCTAGATAGAAGCGAAATGTGTATATGCGGTAGATACGACTACTAATCTCGGCAGACAGTAACCGCGAGCGGTAGGACATATCTAGTTCAACTGCAACCTTAAGATAGTCGGATAGTCGGTAGGCGTAGAAGGATCTAGGATAGTATTAGATAGAGAAGGTTTCGGCGCGAAGCTAGTCCGCCTAGTTAGAGGAGAATTTCGAGGCTTTCCGTTATAATCTACGAATAGAGTGTTTGCCTTATTAAAAGCAGAAGCTACAAGTCTCTTATAAAGTTGTTAGTATTGCTCTTAGCTTGTATACTGCTTTAGAGATCTGCCGATAATATAGGCGTACCTTAGTACCTATAACGAAATGCGCTTTATTTCCCCGTTCTAATAATACTTGTCTTTGCGCTATTACAAAGTCGCAAGTATCCCTAGTATAGTTCTCGATCCGGCGTACTTAACCCCTCTTACTAAATTAGATTTATATCGCCTTATATTAGATTTACGGATTCTGCCGTAAGCAGCTAGGCGCCGCGTTTCTTAGTTAGTTATTAGTAATTGTCGCGTCGCGTTGCTCTTATTCGAACTATAGAATATTGCCTATAGAATATAACGTATAGACTACCTTACTATCGCCCCTATTATATAGCGCTAATAGCTTAAACCGACGACGAGTTTATAAGAGACCTTCTCGCTAGTCTAGACCCTAGTCTACCGCCGCCGCCGTCCTTATTATCGCCGCTATTATCGCCGCTCTTGTCGCCGGAATTCGAGGGTAGTAGAAGCGAAGGTAGTAGAAACGAGGAAGGTAAGGGCGGCGGAAATAAGGGAGATAAGGGCGGCGGAAACGAAGGTAGTAGAGATAGCGATTATTAGAGCGACTCGGACGATAATTTAGTGCCTATACTAGAGCAGTTTAACCGCATAGCGGCGCCGTAGAGTTAGTCGTTTAAGTCCTTCGAGAAGCTAGAAGAATATATATAGGTCTTTAGTTTAGAGCATAGGTTTAAGCTAAATAAGACCGGCTATTAGAAGGCGAATAATAAAGTAGTATATCTCTTCTTTAGGTGCGCTAAATATAGCACTAAGAAGATGCTAGCGTAGGCGGAAGAAGCGAAGAAGGCGTATATTACTACTAGTAAGATAAGGCGGAAGGGCGCTCGAACGAAGAAGACAGGTTATAGGTTCAATTGCTAGGCCTTCGCTAATAATTATAATAAGCCGACTAGCTCGTAGACTCTATAGTAGAATAAAGAAGACTATAATTATCCTGCCTTAGCGCTAATCTGCCTCGCTAACTACTGCCGGCGTTGCTATTACTCGAAGTTAGTAAAGTTTATAGTTAGTTTAAGAGCTAAGGGCGGTCTTATTATTAAGGCTATTCGAGCGTAGGCAAAAGCGACCTTCTATAATAGCGACGACCCTTATTTCGTTCTACTATTAGCGACTAATATATCGAATGCCTAGAGCAAGGCTAAATGCATTAAATTAGATAGCAAGACGGCTATCGAGAGGTCGTTATAACAGCTTAAAGATTAAGGTTACTAGTTTAAGTCTAACTTCGACTTTACTACGGAAGAATTAGCTAAATTTACTAGATTAGAGCCGGAGCCTAAGGACAATAGTAACGAAGCGGAAGATAATAGCGACGACGACTCGCGCCTTAAGTAGATATTCTTCGCTTATCCGAAGATAATTAAGTACTATAAGTATAGTCCTAACGTCCTACTTAGAGACTATACCTATAAGACAAACGACTACGATTTGCTACTATTTGTAATAGCCTAGTTAAACTAGTTTAACTAGGTTATGCCTCTAGCAATAATGCTAATAAATAGGCAGAAGCAAGGCAACTATATAATAGCACTAAAGTGCCTTAAGAAGCTGTTTAAAGACTATAACTGCTCGGAAATGCGAGTCTTCCTATACGACCGAGATAGAGCCCTTATTAACGCTATATAGCGTATATTTCCTAAGCTTCTAAGCATATACTGTCGCTAGTATATAAGAAGCGCTGTTCTTACTAATGCTAAGTATTACATTAGTACCTATATAAACTAGTCTACTAAGCGACTAGAGCCGACTACTAAGACCGAGTTCTTTATAAAGGTCTTCGACAAGGCTATAGAAGCCGAGACTAAGGACTAATTTGAGTACTATAAAGGCGTTATTATCTTACTCGGCAAAGGCGAGCCTATTCCGGAAGCACTTAAATAAGAAGACCTATACTTAGTTAACGCCGACAAGTGGTATATTATAGCCGATTATCTCGACGATTAATAGTAGCCGTATAAGAAGAAGTGTATTAAATACTAGATAGACAAGACTCGCTACTTTAGTAATACAATAACCTTACTAGTTAAGAGCGTCTACGCGTTACTAAAGTCCTTCCTTACTACCTTAAAGAACGATATCTTAACGTTCTTAGACCGACTCGACGGCTATTTTAATTACTAGATTAACCGTTATATTGCTAGGCTAGGCAAGGAGACTAATATAGGCTATTCTCGCTATATTAATAGCGATTATTATAACAAGGTTGTCCGCCTTGTATCTATATACGGTCTTAAGCTAGCAGAGTAATAACGTAACCTCGCTACGGCCGAGCTTTAGAAGATAAAGGAAGACGTTAATTTGAAATTTCTAACCGAAGCTATACTTAGGTCGCTTCCGGAAGGTCTATAGCGTACCTTACCGCTACTAGTAGCGACCTCTTCTTACTAGTAAGGGTCGTTACGTTCTATAGATACGCCTATTTAATAAGCACTAGTTTATACTAGGGGGCACTTCTATAGCTATAGAAGAGTCCGAAGACCGCAAGCTTAACCCTCTTAAACGACGATAGAAGCGACTCGAGAAGGTAAGTAAGAAGGTACGCAATAGCAACAGTCTCGGCGGTACGAGAAGGCAGGCAACTAGACCTAAACGTATAGACCCTAGCAATAGAGCTACTCTACTACCTAGTTATAAGATACTAACGATTATTAACTAGTAAGAGGCTATTCGCAATACCGAGCCTAGCCGTATAGCACCTCTAATAGCACTACTAAGATTATAGGCTTCTAGAAGGAAGAGGTGCCGCTATAAGACAACCTGCTAAGGCAATTGCGGCTGTAAGAATAAGGGTAGCTACACTACTAAGTGCTATAGCGAGGACTTTCCTTATCTATAGAAGCCGCTACGGTCTATAGAAGCCGCTAGACCTTTATCTACGGCTCCGGCTTCTATAGGTCTACCTATACCGTTAGAAACACCTGTCTAGTAGTAGCCTCCTTAGTAGCCGCCGCTACTACTACTACCTAGATCTATACTTCCGCTACTACTACCTAGATCTATACTTCCGCTACTACTACCGATAGGAAGCTAATAGATACCGCTACTAAGCAATTAATAATAATAGTAATACTTTACTTCGAGCTAGTAGTATATAGTAAACTAGCACTTCTACTATAGCTAGGTCTAGGGCAGTAAGGTCTATAGTTACTACTATATCTATAGAAGGCTTAGCGGACAGCTACCTAACCCTTAGAGCTACTACGGTAAAGGGGTATTCTATAATTACTTACTAGCAAATAGCTAGCCTACTAGTTACGACCCTTCCTATATTGCGTAGGCCCGAAATACTAGTAGAGCTTACTAATATTATAATTAGTTGCTATTTATATAATCTACTATAGTATTTAATCTATTCCTAGGTCTATATTTACTTCTTACTACTAGAATCGGCTTAGAATCTATTTACCTACCGCTATAGTACTATGTAATTGCGCGCGCGATATTATTATTAGCGTGTCATTGCGCGCGCGATATTATTATTAGCGTGTCGCATACTTAGCGATCGCAGGTAGTAGGATTAGGTAAGGAACCGGTAATATCCGTAAATCTGATATAAGGCGATATAAATCTGATTTAGTAAGAGGGGTGCTTGACACGTGGTAGCTGTATCCGAATCCATGTTCATTAATTATTGTCTACTAGCAGGGCTGGTCGATTATGCAGGCACAGGGGGTTAACTTGGTAACGATCTTTGTAGGGAGATGAAGCACGTCCCAGAAGGCGGTCATAGTGGTTGCGATCCTGTTATCCTGAGTTCATCTCTCGATGTACAGTTTGCGATGTTGCTGCGGAGTGGAACTCCTAAACACCCGGATCCTGAAGTGTGTACAAGACTGAGTTACCCGCGACTCGCGCACGAGGGGCTGCTCCCGACGCTTGTATGATACATCGCTTCCCTGGACACTCCACTCACAAACAATCACTCATCACACGCACTGACAAGTAGGCCTTCAGCTGCAAGCCCTCTTGATTCTCGAGAGAAGAACGTTCCATACACGTTTGAGCAAGAGCTAGCAGTTCTGCGTTCTTGGAACCGAGAGCCAAACTTGGGGTCCAATGAAATTACTACTTCTCTGGAAAGCAATCATCGCGTTGACACCCGTTGCCGAAGCACAGCGACTGGCGTTCCTCACGCCGAATGGAGGAGATCCGACGCAGTATACCGAGGGCCAGCAGATTCCGATTCGTTGGACCACCCCGTTCAAGTTGACGAATGTCGAAGTTTGGCAAGGTCCACGGCAAGATGGCTCATACAGCATACAAACATTGAAAGGTGAGGTGTCTTGTCCTGCATGATCAGCTGTTGCTGATGTGAAATAGCCAATTGCACACCGGATCAGACCAGCGTTTCGTGGAAAGCAGGCTCGTTAGACGGAGAGGATTTCCAGCATGCTTTGCAATTTCGTCTTCAAAAAAGTGACCAGCCCAACTTGTGCGCAGAATGTATCGCAGTCAGCCAAGACTTTCGAGTGCAGCAAATACCACGGCTAGTGGCAGATCCGATGCCAGCAAAAGCACAGTCTGGCACGCCAATCAAAGCGCAAGCGAACGCGACAACCACTGCAAAAGCTTCGCACACGCCTGGGGTTTCGCTCAAAGCGGAGCTCGGCGCCGCTCTGGGCATCGGATTGGTAGGGGCGGCGGCCATATTGACCTTCTGCATAATGTGGTGGAGGAAGAAGTACCGTTACAGGAAAGGATTGCAGGAAGCACAGAAGCTCGGACTGGGAGATGCGCAGCAAGTACCGATGCTAGCGGAAGGGAAGTTGCAGTACAACTTATACCAGTCTTCCGTGCGAGAATCGTTCACGACCACCGGGACGGCGGTGAGTGGCAAAGCTCCTAGCTACTTTGACCCCTTCGAGTTCGAAGATGAAGATGGGAGCATTCGTGAAGGATGGTATTCTCTGTGGGGTGATGGTAGACCGAGCAGGATGTCGACCGCACCGCTGAGGAAGTCGTCGCTGAGAACGTCGATACTGGCCAACCCGGGGCAGCCGTTTTAACGCTGGCCAGCCGTGGATCCAGTCACGCATGTCTCATGTATCATTGTAGCTCACGGCCTCATGAAGTCTCTGACGTCCCACACAAGCACTCTCTCGTCCCATGCACAGGTAGAGCACCAGCCTTCGGCACCAAATAGGCACCAGTCAACACCCATGGCGAATTCGGTATGCCGGTCCATACGACCCAGCTCGCGCCCAAGGCCAGAGCCGTTGCCGCCTTGGTCGACGTTGCTGCCGTCGGTCCAGATGCGGCACGTCATGTCATAGCTAGCGGAAAGCAGCACATCGCTGAGATGAGGACTCCAGCTCAGCTTTCGGACTGCGTATTCATGGCCAGGCAAGAAGTTGAGAGGGCCCGATGGATTGCGCAGATCAAATGTCCTGATGACACCGTCTACGCCGGCAGAGGCCAGGACCGAGTCTCGATACTTGTTCCAATCATGGGTCAAGCATTCGGTCGGTCCCGGGGCTCTGTTCACGTAGCCAGGGATGGGTATCTTGGGCGGTGCGTGGATGGGGATTGCCAGTTGGAGGTGATTTGTGGCGCTCGGCTTACTCCTCAGATCGTACACGCGCAAATGTGAATCTCTCGACACACATGTGACGATGTGCGGATGGTGTGGGCTGTATTGTGCGGAGTAGACGCATGAATGAACAGGCAATGTCATCACGCTCTCTTTCCGCTCCGGCGTCCATATCTTGACCGTTCCGTCCCAACTGCTGCTCAGAAATGTCTGCTTTTCGACCAGATTCCAGTGCACGGAGAAGACTTCGCGCGCATGCTCTTGCCATCCAGCGACGGGGAACTCTCCCACGCCGATATCAAACAGCTTGATCGCTCCGTCTCCACCAGCGGTCAGCAGCTGATTCTCGTGCTGCTCGGACCAGGCCAGATCGAAGAGACAATCCTGCGTCTCGAAATACTTCTCGCACGCGATGCCGTTCGCGCCAAGATTGAGAATGTACAGGCGTCCGTTGCCCACCAGGCCGAAGTTGGCGCCGGCAGAAACAGCGAGGCGGGAGTCGAAGAAGGGCGAGTATTTCACGCTGTACGCGTTGAAGCCCCGAGTCCGAAACTCGAGCATCGTGGGCGTGGGCGTGGGCGTGGGTGCAGGCGGCGTGGCGTGGCGTGGCGGTGGTGCTTCGAAGGCCGCAGAGGCGCAATACCAGATCATATGCACATTATTATACTATCATGTGTGTTGTTGCTCCCACAGCTGAATCGGAATCACCACCACCGCGCTCGATCTCGCTTGTTCAGCCTCGGCGCGTTCGTCATTGCCATTGCCGAGACATGCCCACCAGAATACGGCAGTCCATATCACGGCCTACAACGTAAATACAACTCACACCACGTTCCCACATCGTCTTCCGTCACCACATGGCTCAATGACAACGACCTGCACCACCTTGCGCCATGCCACAAGATGCCGTCTCGTCTTCGGCGCGAGGTGCAGTCGTTCTGATTCTCCAACAGGTGGCATCCCGCGCCGTGACCTTCATCTTCAACCACATCCTTCTCCGCTTCCTCTCGCCAGCACTGCTGGGAGCATCGGTCCAGCTCGAACTGTACATCATATCCGCACACCACTTCGCCCGAGAAAGTCTACGTGTGGCATGCCAAAGACAACCTGAAGGAGGCATGCAAGCCTCCATCAATCTCTCCTATCTAGCCATTGCCAGCGGCATCCCCATCGTCCTTGGTCTGGCACAATGGTACCTCTCGACATCGTATCCGGATGTGCCGTACTTCCCCGAAGCGCTCAGAATATGCGAGCTTGCAGCCATCGTCGAGTTGCTCTCGGAACCTGCATTTGTCGCAGTGCAGCAGAATATGATGTACAAGACCAGGGCTGCTGCAGAGAGCAGTGCTGTCATTGTGAAAACTGCTGTCACAGCCGCCATGGTCTTCTGGAGCAGGTATGCTGGAGTCGAGCTTGGAATGCTGCCTTTCGCGGCGGGTGAGCTTGCATACTGCTCTGCTCTGACAGCCGTGTACTTGCGGCAAACGGCCTCAGTGGCCAGGCAGCAGAGGTTCACTTTGCTACCCAAGAAGATCGTGACCAAGAAGAGGTGTGTACGGCGACCTCTACAAACTAGGCAAGTGCTTTCTAATAGCTCCTCTGCAGCAGCACCGACTTCGTTCTTGGACTGTTCTCCACGTCACTTTTCAATTTGAGTCTGTCGCTATACGTCCAACAAGGCATCAAGTATGTTCTGACTAAAGGCGATGTGCTTATAAGCACAGCGTTGGCTACGCTCGAAGAGCAAGGCATGTATGCTCTTTCCGCCAACTATGGCGGTCTCATCGCGAGAATGGTCTTCCGCCCGATCGAAGACAGCAGCCGCAACCTCTTTGCGCAGCTCTGTGCTCCAGCTTCAGACAAGGAGAAGTCTCAATCTTCAGAGAAGAAGACTTCGGCGTCCACGGAGCCCTCTCAGCCGAAAGCAAACCTCGAACAGGCAAAGACGACACTAAACCTGATTCTGCACAGCTACAGCATCCTATCTCTGCTTGCGTTCGCCTTGGGACCGACAGCAGCACCTCTACTTCTACAAATCGTCGCTGGGCCCCGCTGGTCCGCTTCAGGTGCCGGAGATGTTCTCGGTATATACTGCTACAGCATCCCACTCCTTGCCATCAACGGCGTCAGCGAAGCGTTTGTTGCAGCAACGGCCTCCACCAAAGAACTGCATTGGCAAAGCATCTGGATGACTGCTTTCTCGGCTGGGTTCGCGGCAAGTGCATACGTCTTTCTCCGAGTTCTGGAGATGGGTGCCAAAGGACTGGTCTGGGCGAACTGTGTCAATATGGCTTCGCGAATCGTCTTCAACCTGTACTTTGTCAAGTCATTCTTTCAGCGACACGGTCTGCAATACAGTATCGGCGATCTTCTGCCAAGTATGTATGCCACTGCTGGTGCAGTCGTGGTTCCTGGCCTTCTGAACCAGACGAGCGGTATGCTAGATCGATATGGTTTGCTCGGCGAATTGGCAAGAGTAGGAACTGTTAGTATAGGTCTGGCCTTGTTTATGTAAGTCTCCGGAGCATCGCTCGGTAGCGAAATCAAGTTACTAATTTATTAATAGAGCTATAATAGAACGTCGATTCCTTCTTAATTACTATAGAAGAGCGCGGTCGTAGTTAAAGTATAGAGTAAAGTAAAGAGCCTATATCTAGATAATATAATACGCCGCTAGGATATCGACTCTCGTATCTATAAGTACTAATAAATAAGCTTAATAAACACGTTCTCTATTATATCAACGGCTATAGCTAGCGCGATAAAGATCTTCTATATTATAGAGCTAATAGAAATAATTCTATATAAAGAAGATATTTATAATCTTTTTAAATATTAGCGGATATATAAAAGATAGTTTAATATAATTTAAGACTTATTAAAGCTCTAGAAGAAGCTATTGCTACTTCTAGTAGTAGTTATTTTAAATACTAGTAGATCCTATAGTAGTTTAGTCTAGTCTAGTTTAGTTTAGTTTACTAAGAAACTAGGGAAGTAGTTAGTTTAAACTAGAGAATTTACTAGTTTCTAAGAAGTATAAGTAGACCCCGTAGTAGTTCGGGGTAGTTTAGTTTAGTTTACTAAGCCGAAGATCTAGTTTAGTTTAGGTTAGTTTACTAAGCAACTATAGGAGTAGCTAGTTTGAACTATAGAATTTATCGGTTTCTAAGAAGTATAAGAATATATACGTAACTTAAAGTAAGCCCTTTATAAGATACGAGAGTATAGCCGGTAGCGTAGCTAGTATTTTTTAGTTATAGGAAGGTACTTATATAACCCTAAATCTATAGGCAATTAGCTAAGGGTACTAACTAATTAAAAGCATATATATATAAGCTATTATAGTTTAGTTTAGAAACTATACTTATTAGGTATAAATTTTAATCTAGATCTAGGTAGAACTTATCGATTTCTCTAGAAGCCCTCCTTAAGAAGTTCTAATACTTTCCTACTAAACTATTCTCTAATATTAAGTACTAGGATAGCTTCTCCCTCGGTATCGGTATAGTATATAAAAGAGCTATAAAGTAGCTCTATACTACGTTCTACTAATTACTCGCTATACTAAGGCCGAATACTAGTTCGTTCCTTAGAACTCTTAGTTATTTAGTAGATATAAAGGGTAGGGTAGGTAGTAACTTTATATTATATAAGGAGGTAGAGGCTACTATAGAGGAGTCCTTTAACCTATAGAAGATAGTAAAAGATATAGAGGCAGCTATAGGTCTAGGTACCTAGTTAAATTTCTAGTAGATAGAGTATAAGGATATTTAAAGGGAGTATTAGGTAGAGTTACGAAGGTAGATATATAATATAGTCTAGAAAACAGGGGCAATAGCTACAACTATAAGTATTAGGTTCTTTAACCTTTCTCTTTTTTTTCTATTTTCTTTTTATAAAAATCTAAACTAATATAAATTAACTAGAAAGTCTATCTTCTTTTAGTTCTTTCTAAGACCTAGTAGCGTAGCTAGTAGCGTAGCCGATAGCGTAGCCGGCCTTTTTACTCCTTAGTACTAACGGGATTTTCGAAGACTTCTATTCCGTACGGCTAATAAACTATACTATACTATATATATATATATATATATATACTTAGAGAGTATTTAGAGCGCGGTATATAGCGCCGTATAATAGCGGCTTATTTCGTATATAGAATCGCTTATAGATAATACTAAGTATATCCTTCCTACTAGAATATCTATCCTACCTAGTACTATTTCGAATATAGATATTCTAGCCCTTTAGAATCTAATCGAAGGCTTTAAAATCCTTATCTATAATCGTAATACGCTTCGCGTAGATAGCTATAAGGTTAACCGTTAAACTAGTATTAGTATAGTTCGAAAAGAGGTAAAAGAGAAATATATATTCGAAGATACGTACTAGGTAGGCTTCTAAAGCCTCTTAAAGGGCCTCTATTACGGAGGCTTAGAAGCGAAGGTCCTATAGAATATACTAGGCAATTTTGCAAATAAGTCGTTAGGAAGGAGCTTTACGAATTAGGAGTTTAGTATCTTTCTAATATATCTAAATCGAACGAAGGGCTACGGCTAAAGAAGGATTAGTAAAAAAATAGTAAGAATACCGGCTACGCTATTAGCTACGCTACTAGCTATAGATAGTACTTACTTCCTAGGCGCTATCGACGCTTTATACGATTACTACTACTAGTAGTAGAAGCGCTAGTCGTCGTCTTACCTAGAGCCTTACCTACTATCGTCTTATATAGAGCCTTACCTACGACGCTCTTTCTAGTACTAGAGCTAGCGGTAGTAGTAGTAGCCTTCTTATATTAATATAATATACTCGTTCTACTACTTCCGGTCTTATTACGACCTTATAGAAGTAGTAGGTCCCTTATTACGAGTCGTCGTAACTTAGTTAAGTAGACTTAGTATTATAAAAGTTATCGGATTAAAAAAAAAGTACGTTATAAAGGTATACGAAGGCGCGCGTAGAGCGAGAGTACTACGGAGGTAGTAGATATAAAGCGTAGAGATATAGGTATTAATACGAAGGTTAAATATAACGAGAGAGATAGTATCGCGGTATCGCTAGGTAATAGATTAAGCGTAGCGCAAGCCTATATTATAGTAACGTTAGAGTAAGGAAAGAAGGTAGGTACGGCTAAAAAGGGTAGGTACGGCAAACTTTAAAATATAGCCGGTATATATAGCTAGTATAGTAATAGGCGAAAGCCTTCTTTTAATAAATAGTCGGCGTAATTATAGTATCCTACTATAGTATAGATATTCTTTAGTAATTCCCTTACTAGCTATAGTAATCTTATAAGTAACCTAGGCCTATTACTAGGAAATATAAGAAATATTAGGTAGGCTATACTAAACAAGCTAGTTATTTAGTAGGAAAAGGCCTACTACCGTCTCTATATACCGGCTACGAGTGCCGGCTATCGCTCTAAATTTAACTCCGCCCTATCTTAGAGGCTAACTTAGATACCGAGCGGAAACCCTATAGCTTATATTTACTCGGTTATCGTAGAGCGCTTATAGGTAAGGTATTAGAAAAGAGTATAAAAAGTACGAGAAGAGTATCCTAGGATATAGGTCGTAAGTAAATAAGAGTAGTATACCTAGTTATTTATTTATATAGTACGTTACTCTAAATAACTAGGAGCCTATATTATCTCGTACTTCGCTAATAAGGCCTCGACTCTACTAGTATACTATCGATCTCCTCCTCGGTCGCTAATACGCTATCTTAATTCTTCTTCGAGTTGCCGGACTTAGTACGTATCTATCGCTATATAATAGCGCTACGTATAATAGAGAGTCTCTCGTTAAAGTTTCTCTCTCGTAGGCTTACTATCTGCCTTATAGTATAGAGGATTAAAGTGCTAATACTAAAGAATCTCCCTATAGTTAGGATACTAGGGCTCCTTAGGACCTTTATATTTTAGGTCTAAATAGAGACGTATTATAAACGTTCTATCGCCCTTTCGCTTACTATCCGCTAGGTTGCGATATACGAAGAAACTAATCTAAATATAGCTCGTCTCTATAATAGCCGGGTAAATATAGAGCGCTAGGTTTCTACTTCGTACCTTGGATTTAGGGACGGCGCGGAGATAAAATTAGAAATATAGCTAGTACCTATAGCCGGTAAAAGGATACGAAAAGAGGCCTCCTCCTAGGTTAATCTAACGACTAAATACAAATTCTAACTAATCCGCTATAAACTGTCGCCGAATTCTGGCTAGAAGCTGTATATCTTTATTTTAAAGAGTAACCCGCTTCGTATTAAAGGACGGAAACTAACACTACTACTACTACCTATAGTAATAGTATAGGCTACCGAGGGTAATATAACCTATAGCAATATAGGCAGCTATGTTTAGTATAATAGGATAATAAGACAGTTGATTAGGCTAATAACTAGAGCCCTACAATATAGGCATTATAGAAGTGTAATATAAACAATATACTATACGAGGTTAGTGCTCTATCTATAATATAGAAGGAGGCCTCTTATATAGGCTCAAAACTTAGCCTAGGTATATAGGGCCGGTTACTAGCTAATATCCCTCCCTTTCTTCGTATCTAGCTAGATACGCTTTACATTGCGCGCTAAAAACAAACAGGTATACAGTTGCCTTAGGCATCTTTAGCTAGGGCTATTTTTTAGAAACTCCTAATAATACCCCTAGGGTAGTATTATTCCTAGAATCTATTAATATACAAAAACGATCCTAAGCAATTAGTCTACTATACCGACTTACTACTGCTTTAATATACCGTAATCCTCCCTAGTAATAACCTTATTAGCTAGGCGGTTCTCTAAAACTCCTCCGCAGGTATTAAAGCTATTAGTACTAAAGTATTCGGCCTCGTAGTAAGCTTAAGTAACGAGGAGGTTAGTAGCCTTCTCCTATATAGCGTTCTCCTACTCGCGTAGATATTCCTTAAGCTCCTCCTCGCTAAACTAGAGGATTTATTTAACTTCGTTCTAAATAACGTAACTTAACTAAGGAATTCTGCCGACTAGGGCATCGGAAATACAACTAAGGCCTTCGACTAAGATAGCGGTAGGGAAGGCGAACGGTACGAAGGTATTCGAACCTAGAAGGGCGGTTAGATTGCGGTACGCCTTAGCAACCTTAGTAACGGTTAAGTTGTCGTAGCCCTTAATCTTAGTGCTGTTAATAATACGAGAGTAGCCTAGGTCGATTAATATACGGTCGCTCTCGGGCTTAAGATTACTATACGGAAGGTATAGTATCTAAATAGAGACTTCGTATTCCTTTAGAGGGTTAAGGATCTACTAGGCTACCTCGCCTTTATTAGGCTAACTATCGAACATATAGCCGAGGTCGTCGTTAGTAAGGTGCTTATTAGTAAGCTTACTAATCTTGTTTAGTAGAACTAGGCTATAGGTATTAAGCTTCTTAACCTAGTTTTCGAAAACCTCTAGTTCGTATATACCCTTAATAACAGTTAAATAGGCGGTCTTACTTTTAGATATAAGAGAAACCTTAATACGCAGATAGCTAGCACCCTTACTAGCTACGAGCTTAACTATATCTTATCTAAGACGAGAAGTCTCCTTAGTAGGGCAGTTCTTATAACCGCTATTACCTACCTTAAAGTACTTAGTAGGC